TACATCAACACCTGCACAGTCTGAGAGAACCAGCTGACCACAGACAGGTACCTGAGAGAGACAGACAGTACATCACACCTTGCATAGTCTGAGAGAACCAGCTGACCACAGACAGGTACCTGAGAGAGACAGACAGGTACATCAACACCTGTACAGTCTGAGAGAACCAGCTGACCACAGACAGGTACCTGAGAGAGACAGACAGGTACATCAACACCTGTACAGTCTGAGAGAACCAGCTGACCACAGACAGGTACCTGAGAGAGACAGACAGGTACATCAACACCTGCATAGTCTGAGAGAACCAGCTGACCACAGACAGGTACCTGAGAGAGACAGACAGTACATCAACACTGCACAGTCTGAGAGAACCAGCTGACCACAGACAGTCCGAGAGACAGACAGGTACATCAACACCTGCACAGTCTGAGAGAACCAGCTGACCACAGACAGGTACCCGAGAGAGACAGACAGGTACATCAACACCTGTATCTAAACTAAATCTCATCTCTGACTACATTTCCCAGCATACCTCAGCCACTGTGGGGATGACATCACATCCCTCCTTGCCAGTGCCAGCACACAGATCACCGCCCACAGGATGACTGACAGGCCAGCCAGCCAATCACAGGCCAGGCCCCACCAGCCAGACGGCCAGGTGAGTATGAGGATGAGCAGTCTGGTCAGGATGTCGATGACGTTGGTGACGACAAGTGACGTTCTTCTCTGAGCCGACGAAAACTGCTGATACACCTTCTCCAGGTCGGGCGACCTGAACGAGGACAGGTGTGATGAAGTTTAAGGTTAGAGAACACCTTTACCTGAACGTGTCTGTTTGTGCTTCTTTACTTGAACGTGTGCTGCAGCGCTGGAATGAAAACGCCTCGCACAGACGACCCCCTGGACACGAAGAAGTCGGCGTCGCTGAGTGAGTTTTGTGTGATACTTAACGGCACCGAGATCTTTGCCGTCATCGGGTGGACCCGAGCAGCAGACGAGCGCCGTTTCTGCCAGAACGCACCACGAGACGCCTTATTACGAATCTGCCTGTAAGACAACACGGAGGGTAAACATTAAGAGGATTCAAATAGTTTAAAACGGAAGAAAAACAAAGGTGAGGTTAAGTTAACCTGTTGATGACATCATCGTGTGTACCTGCTGATGACATCATCGTGTGTACCTGTTGATGACATCATCGTGTGTACCTGCTGATGACATCATCGTGTGTACCTGTTGATGACATCATCGTGTGTACCTGCTGATGACATCATCGTGTGTACCTGTTGATGACATCATCGTGTGTACCTGCTGATGACATCATCGTGTGTACCTGCTGATGACATCATCGTGTGTACCTGTTGATGTCAGCGATGTAGGCGTCAGTGACGGTGATGCGGTGCCTCCCCCTCTCCAGGCCGCCGGCGAGCCTTAGCGAGTAAAGGTTGTGCTGGTCAATGATGTTTCTGACGGCGTTTTGCCACAGCAGCTGCTTCCTCATCAGGCCAGGGGCGGGGCTTATGTTCACACTGATGCTGATGTCATTTTTATGATGTGCCGCCTCGCAGTCGCCGTTCTCCTTCACGACACGGTTGTCTTCAGTCATGGCTACGGAGGTGGTGCAGACCGCCTCCTCTGTGACCTGATTGGTGGAGAACATGCAATGAAACTCCAGGCTCACTTCTCCCTGACCTTTGACCTTTGACCCCATCATACACGCTGCTCATCCTGGTTTAACCTTTGTGAACTTTAGAGAAACACAGTTCTGAACGAGTCACACAGATTTCATTGAAGTTTTGAAGATTAAGAATGAACTTTGATTCTAAATGATTTCTTTGTTCTTACCTGTTCAGGTGATCAGGTATAAACGACCCTGAACAGGATCACGTCTGTCTGAAGGTGACCTTCAGGAGTTAAGGGTTTGAAATCAGGTCCTCTTAGATGTAATCCAGAGCACTTCGGGTCCTCCCTTAACCCTCTCTGCCATCAGGTGGACAATCAGCCCGTGGACCCTCTGATCATGTTTTGTATTGAAGAGAGTCTGTAGAGATGTTAGGAAGTACCTGAACAATCATCTGGATTTACAATGTCAACGTATCAAACATGGCGTCTTTCCTCAGATGATTTTATGATGTCATGATTGATAAAGCTAGCTGGATGTGATCTCGCTCAGCTGATCTGATTGTCTCTTTGCCAAAATGCTCTGAGGCCTGATCGCCTGGCGTCGGCCCCGGATCAGAGGCAGGTTTCAGGGTTAATCCAATCAGGATCTAGCACGGCAGCCTGCTGCTTCCTCCCTGACATTCCAGAGCGGCCGAGCAGTAAGAGAAGGTGGGTAGAATAAGGAAGAGAGAATAAATGAAGCTGCTCCTCGTTAACCACCGTCATAAACTCAGATTATTATAATCACGCCTGACTGTTAACCAACAGTGTGTGTGTGTGTGTGTGTGTGTGTGTGTGTGTGTGTGTGTGTGTTTGAACGCACCTGCTGCAGGATCTCACTGATGATGTGAAGAAGTGTCAGACTTCACTCTGTTTGGATTCTTTTCTTCATATGTCTCATTCTAGCTCCTTCTCGTTGACCCTTCCTCTTTCTTCTTGATCTCAGTCGTCTCTTGATTTGGATGTTTTGTCCGTTTTGTTTTACTTCCAAACATCATTTGGTCCTTCATGTCTTCCTCTCAGGTCTTCTTGGTTCCCCCTCCATTTCTTCACCTTCTGGTTTCTGCATCAGTAATCCAAACACTGAAGTGTCCTCAGAAGTTCAGCCTCTGGATCCATAAAGATCTGTTCCTGTAGGTCTGCAGAATAACATCCATCGTTGACTTGAAGTTTAAAGGTCGACACAGACAGTTTATATCTTTAACATTAGTCCAAAACTATTTACAAAACTTAACATTAACACAAATACTAAAGATAAGGACCGTCTCGTCTGTGTGTCTGTGTGTGCTCTTTACCTCCAGGCATCAGATTAATCAAATTAACTATCCAACAGAAGAAGAAGAAGACGATCTCAGCTGCTGGTTTCAGGTCGTCAACGCTGTTTTTCCAAAGTCAAACTTTTCTTACAATAGAGACAAAAAAGTGGAGAATAAACATGCAGCACATTAAAGATGGAGGTAGATGGAGGTGTGTGTTCATCCTGATGGGAATCCCTGAAACAGAGACAAATGGCTTCTCATTAAGACTCAAGAGATTAACTGTGTGTGTGTGTGTGTGTGTGTGTGTGTGTGTGTGTGTGTGTGTGTGTGTGTGTGTGTGTGTGTGTGTGTGTGTGTTCAGGTCCATGATAGGATTGGTTCAGGTCCAACCAGGACACATGTTGTCAGCATGTAGGCGTGTTGGTGTCTTTGTGTGTTGCATCATTTTCCTGCTGTAAGAAAACAACCGGACGATTAAAGAGGACTGATTCTGAAGGATCCTCTTCTTCAGTGTTTCTGATCATTTATCTGTAAGCTGAGAGTCTACTGACCCACAACATGTGAAGTAAACCATCCAGTCCTTTATTTGTGGTCTGCATAAGTCTTACAACACAGAGAAGCTCTGTTTCTAATGTGCTCTCCTTGTGATGTCACAGTGGGTAAAAAAAAAAAAAAATCTCCACCCATGGACTCCACCTCCAGCCTAGAGCAACACTTTAACGCAGGTCGGCCATTATTCTCTCTACAGGGGAGTGATGTCTACGGGGAAAACTCAGGGGGCGGGGCTTATTGCATTTAAAGAGACACACACACCAAAACGGAACGTTCTGAGAGAGCTGGTTTCTACAGGGTCACAAACCTCCTCTGGTGCTTGATTCATGTTATATTTTGACCAAAGCACAGCACAGATGTTTCATTTAGACCACAGGGGACTGTTTGAAAAGGTGGAGGAGGACTGTTTGAAAAGGTGGAGGAGGGGACTGTTTGAAAAGGTGGAGGAGGACTGTTTGAAAAGATGGAGGAGGAGGACTGTTTGAAAAGGTGGAGGAGGACTGTTTGAAAAGGTGGAGGAGGACTGTTTGAAAAGGTGGAGGAGGGGACTGTTTGAAAAGATGGAGGAGGAGGACTGTTTGAAAAGGTGGAGGAGGAGGACTGTTTGAAAAGGTGGAGGAGGGGACTGTTTGAAAAGGTGGAGGAGGACTGTTTGAAAAGGTGGAGGAGGAGGACTGTTTGAAAAGGTGGAGGAGGAGGACTGTTTGAAAAGGTGGAGGAGGGGACTGTTTGAAAAGGTGGAGGAGGACTGTTTGAAAAGATGGAGGAGGAGGACTGTTTGAAAAGGTGGAGGAGGACTGTTTGAAAAGGTGGAGGAGGACTGTTTGAAAAGGTGGAGGAGGGGACTGTTTGAAAAGATGGAGGAGGAGGACTGTTTGAAAAGGTGGAGGAGGACTGTTTGAAAAGGTGGTGGAGGAGGACTGTTTGAAAAGGTGGAGGAGGGGACTGTTTGAAAAGGTGGAGGAGGACTGTTTGAAAAGGTGGAGGAGGGGACTGTTTGAAAAGGTGGAGGAGGACTGTTTGAAAAGATGGAGGAGGACTGTTTGAAAAGGTGGAGGAGGGGGACTGTTTGAAAAGATGGAGGAGGACTGTTTGAAAAGGTGGAGGAGGGGACTGTTTGAAAAGATGGAGGAGGACTGTTTGAAAAGGTGGAGGAGGGGACTGTTTGAAAAGGTGGAGGAAGGGGACTGTTTGAAAAGGTGGAGGAGGGGACTGTTTGAAAAGGTGAAGGAGGACTGTTTGAAAAGGTGGAGAGAGGGGACTGTTTGAAAAGGTGGAGGAGGGGACTGTTTGAAAAGATGGAGGACTGTTTGAAAAGGTGGAGGAGGAGGACTGTTTGAAAAGGTGGAGGAGGGGACTGTTTGAAAAGATGGAGGAGGACTGTTTGAAAAGGTGGAGGAGGGGGACTGTTTGAAAAGATGGAGGAGGACTGTTTGAAAAGGTGGAGGAGGGGACTGTTTGAAAAGATGGAGGAGGACTGTTTGAAAAGGTGGAGGAGGGGACTGTTTGAAAAGGTGGAGGAGGGGACTGTTTGAAAAGGTGGAGGAGGGACTGTTTGAAAAGGTGGAGGAGGGGACTGTTTGAAAAGGTGGAGGAGGGGACTGTTTGAAAAGGTGGAGGAGGAGGACTGTTTGAAAAGGTGGAGGAGGGGACTGTTTGAAAAGATGGAGGAGGACTGTTTGAAAAGGTGGAGGAGGGACTGTTTGAAAAGGTGGAGGAGGGGACTGTTTGAAAAGGTGGAGGAGGGGACTGTTTGAAAAGGTGGAGGAGGGGACTGTTTGAAAAGGTGGAGGAGGGGACTGTGTGAAAAGTGGAGGAGGGGACTGTTTGAAAAGTGGAGGAGGGGACTGTTTGAAAAGGTGGAGGAGGGGACTGTTTGAAAGTGGAGGAGGGGACTGTTTGAAAAATGGAGGAGGGACTGTTTGAAAAGGTGGAGGAGGGACTGTTTGAAAAGGTGGAGGAGGGGACTGTTTGAAAGGTGGAGGAGGGGACTGTTTGAAAAGGTGGAGGAGGGGGACTGTTTGAAAAGGTGGAGGAGGACTGTTTGAAAAAGTGGAGGAGGACTGTTTGAAAAGGTGGAGGGGGGACTGTTTGAAAAGGTGGAGGAGGACTGTTTGAAAAGGTGGAGGAGGGGACTGTTTGAAAAGATGGAGGAGGGGACTGTTTGAAAAGGTGGAGGAGGACTGTTTGAAAAGGTGGAGGAGGGGACTGTTTGAAAAGGTGGAGGAGGGGGACTGTTTGAAAAGGTGGAGGAGGGGACTGTTTGAAAAGGTGGAGGAGGACTGTTTGAAAAGATGGAGGAGAGGACTGTTTGAAAAGATGGAGGAGGGGACTGTTTGAAAAGATGGAGGAGGACTGTTTGAAAAGATGGAGGAGGGGACTGTTTGAAAAGATGGAGGAGGGGACTGTTTGAAAAGGTGGAGGAGGGGGACTGTTTGAAAAGGTGGAGGAGGGGACTGTTTGAAAAGGTGGAGGAGGGGGACTGTTAGAAAGGTGGAGGAGGGGACTGTTTGAAAAGGTGGAGGAGGGGACTGTTAGAAAAGGTGGAGGAGGGACTGTTTGAAAAGATGGAGGAGGACTGTTTGAAAAGATGGAGGAGGGGACTGTTTGAAAAGGTGGAGGAGGGGACTGTTAGAAAAGGTGGAGGAGGGGACTGTTTGAAAAGGTGGAGGAGGACTGTTTGAAAAGGTGGAGGAGGGGACTGTTTGAAAAGGTGGAGGAGGGGACTGTTTGAAAAGGTGGAGGAGGGGACTGTTTGAAAAGGTGGAGGAGGGGACTGTTTGAAAAGGTGGAGGAGGGGACTGTTTGAAAAGGTGGAGGAGGGGACTGTTTGAAAAGGTGGAGGAGGGGGACTGTTGAAAGGTGGAGGAGGACTGTTTGAAAAGTGGAGGAGGGGGACTGTTTGAAAAGGTGGAGGAGGGGGACTGTTTGAAAAGGTGGAGGAGGGGACTGTTTGAAAAGGTGGAGGAGGGGACTGTTTGAAAAGGTGGAGGAGGGGACTGTTTGAAAAGATGGAGGAGGAGGACTGTTTGAAAAGGTGGAGGGGGACTGTTTGAAAAGGTGGAGGAGGGGATTGTTTGAAAAGGTGGAGGAGGAGGACTGTTTGAAAAGGTGGAGGAGGGACTGTTTGAAAAGGTGGAGGAGGACTGTTTGAAAAGGTGGAGGAGGGACTGTTTGAAAAGGTGGAGGAGGGGACTGTTTGAAAAGGTGGAAGGAGGACTGTTTGAAAAGGTGGAGGAGGGGGACTGTTTGAAAAGGTGGAGGAGGACTGTTTGAAAAGGTGGAGGAGGGGGACTGTTTGAAAAGGTGGAGGAGGGGATGTTTGAAAAGGTGGAGGAGGAGGACTGTTTGAAAAGGTGGAGGAGGGGACTGTTTGAAAAGGTGGAGGAGGGGACTGTTTGAAAAGGTGGAGGAGGGATTGTTTGAAAAGGTGGAGGAGGGGACTGTTTGAAAAGGTGGAGGAGGGGACTGTTTGAAAAGATGGAGGAGGACTGTTTGAAAAGGTGGAGGAGGGGACTGTTTGAAAAGGTGGAGGAGGGATTGTTTGAAAAGGTGGAGGAGGAGGACTGTTTGAAAAGGTGGAGGAGGGGACTGTTTGAAAAGGTGGAGGAGGGGACTGTTTGAAAAGGTGGAGGAGACTGTTTGAAAAGGTGGAGGAGGGACTGTTTGAAAAGGTGGAGGGGGACTGTTTGAAAAGGTGGAGGAGGGGACTGTTTGAAAAGGTGGAGGAGACTGTTTGAAAAGGTGGAGGAGGAGGACTGTTTGAAAAGGTGGAGGGGGACTGTTTGAAAAGGTGGAGGAGGAGGACTGTTTGAAAAGGTGGAGGAGGGGACTGTTTGAAAAGGTGGAGGAGGACTGTTTGAAAAGATGGAGGAGGAGGACTGTTTGAAAAGGTGGAGGAGGACTGTTTGAAAAGGTGGAGGAGGACTGTTTGAAAAGGTGGAGGAGGAGGACTGTTTGAAAAGGTGGAGGAGGGACTGTTTGAAAAGGTGGAGGAGGAGGACTGTTTGAAAAGGTGGAGGAGGGGACTGTTTGAAAAGGATGGAGGAGGACTGTTTGAAAAGGTGGAGGAGGGGACTGTTTGAAAAGATGGAGGAGGAGGACTGTTTGAAAAGTGGAGGAGGACTGTTTGAAAGGTGGAGGAGGGGACTGTTTGAAAAGGTGGAGGAGGACTGTTTGAAAAGGTGGAGGAGGGGGATGTTTGAAAAGGTGGAGGAGGAGGACTGTTTGAAAGGTGGAGGGGGACTGTTTGAAAAGGTGGAGAGGGGGACTGTTTGAAAAGGTGGAGGAGGGGACTGTTTGAAAAGGTGGAGGAGGACTGTTTGAAAAGGTGGAGGAGGAGGACTGTTTGAAAAGGTGGAGGAGGGGGACTGTTTGAAAAGGGAGGAGGACTGTTTAAAAGGTGGAGGAGGGGGACTGTTTGAAAAGGTGGAGGAGGGGGACTGTTTGAAAAGGTGGAGGAGGGGGACTACAGGAAGGGAAACAACAAATCTACAAAATGTTCTCATTTTTAACTTTGTGAAAATGTCAGACCTTTAAAAACCCTCCATCTTTTTTATAAAATATTCAAACTTTGTGAAATGTCCATAAAAGTCATTTTACAAAATATTTTTACTCACATGAGACAACCATCC